TAACCGGTGACTCCAAGACCCAAGAAGAAACCCGTGACGGTGATGTAGTACGTGGCTCTTACTCTCTCATCGAAGCCGATGGTTCCCGTCGTATTGTCAACTACTATGCTGACTCCGTCAACGGTTTCAACGCTGTTGTCTCTAAGGATGTTCCCGTAGCTGCTGCTCCCGTTGTAGCTGCCCCAGCTGCCATTGTTGCCTAATTTCTTTCAAACAAATTATTACCTTTTTGCCTTCAATTCTTAACTAATTATTTATCTTCATTTCGTTATCTATCCTTTTTTTCCTGTTAAGTCAATGGGTTAAATTAACCCTATGTCTATCTGTCAAGGTGCTGTCACATAATTGCAATGGTGTAAGCGAATTTCATTTGTAAATAACATTTTCTACAATCATTGTTGTTGTGGTAAAATGTCACTCATGATCAAGACTTTGTTAAAACTGTTAAATAAAATTTAATTATTGAAAAAAAATCATCTATATTGTTCTAGTGGTTTTATTGAATTTTTATAAACCTGTCAGAAATTATTATAAAAGGGATCCTTAAGAATGAAGGTCTTTCACTTTTCTAACTCGCCTGCCCACTGTGTTTCAGGAGAAAAAATATATATATACAGAAATAATCTGTAATTTTTTACACATGGGCGCATTTATCGAAAAAATTATAAAAACAAGTAAGAAGTTATAGTCGGACGATACCGACCATATAATACCCTACACCAGTTATAAAAAAAATGTGATTTAGTGTTCATAATAAAGCATTTAAGTTGAATTGTACCTTGCCATTTTTGTTGAATAAAATTGTGTACATTTAAGTCATATTTCGAAGGGGGCTTTGTATAGTGGCTAGGGTCAAATGAGGCCCTATTAACAGAAAATTCATCAGGGTCATGAAGGCAGCTTTTTGTCGGTATACGAGTATATTGAACATAATTATGAACTTAAAAGCCCTACTCGGGGGTTTCAGTTGTATGGGGCTAGATCAATTATTGGACCAATGTTAACCATTTTCAATAGGATTTGGTTCTAGTACAATAGAAAATCATGGGCAAAATTTAATTGAATTATCTTCAAGGTGAAATAATGGACCGATCCTAACCATTTTCAATAGGCTTCGTCCCTGGGACAATAAAAGATCATGTACCAAATTTCATTGAATTATCTTCAAAATTGCGGCCTGTAGTTTGATTACAAGGTTTACATGGACGGACGAACAGACTAAAGTGGTGTAGGGTATAAATAGGTATTTTTGGAAGGACCTTGGAATTAAAAATGTTTAAAACTTTTTTCACATAAAATATTTTTTTTTAGAAAATTTTTCCTTATAGATAACGGAGTCGATTAGGCTATGTCAGTCTGTCTGTCCGACTGTTGGTCTGTAGGTTTGTTGAAATCAATTTTCTAAACACCTCAGATATATTCGGAGCGCAAATCTCTAGCAATTCTGTTAAACACAAGATTGCTATTTAAAATCAAATCTCAAATCTTTAACAATTTTGTTAAACAGAATCAGATCAGTTCATAAATAACGGAGACATGAGGAAAAATCCAAGATAACCTCTGAACATTTCATCAAAATATCAGCATGTTTGTGCATGCTTTGACAGAAAGAATAAACAACAACATACAGCTACATTAGAGTGCTCCAAAAAAACTAAGTTTCGAATTTTGCCCGTCCCCCCCCTAAAATTGTTCTACGGGTTATAAAAATAAGTCGTGCAAAAAATTAGGTCAATAGGACTACGTTAACTGGTGCCGCAACGGCTCTGAAGTTTGAAGATGCATTTACAAGGGGAAAATATGCATTTTTTTCAGTTTTCACAAAAGTTTTGTCATTAAACAATTTGTTTTGCATTTTATTGTCAAAGAATCGTAATGTACACAGAATTAGCGTTACAAAAAGATAAAAAACACAAAAATTGGTTGAAAAATGTAAAAGTTATTAAAAATTCCCCAGGCCATTATCGTGTCTCAGAGCACTTGAATTCGAAATGTGATAAAAAAAATAAACATATTTTTGAAAATATTCTAATAAAACAATTGTATTACTTAAAATATATCTGTAGTTACTTGAATATGAGTTTTTGTCCTTATATAATAACGTAAACCTGTTCTCAGCTATGGTCGAAAAATTTTGATATTTTTAACGGTCGTTTCAAAATTCAAATTTTAGTTTTTTTGATACTTTGTTAAACAAATTTCAATATTTTTGGGAGAACTCATAGGGACTTATGGACAACAGATTAGGGAATAAAACAGTAAAAAAATTAGGTCAATACCTCTTATAGTTTGCCCGTACCTGCAATTTGAATTCAGCGGATTTCGAGAAAACCCCATTTTTATGTAATATTTTGCAAAATTAGCCTTTTTATTATATTGTTGTGTATTTTAAATGGAACCTTTTGTAAATTTATTAGTCCACATATTTCTAAATAAAAATCAAGAGTTTCATGCAATTTGGACGCCATTAACCCATAAACTTTAAAGGTCAAATTTTGTAATATTTGCAATTTTTGATGGAAACTAGTCGAAATTGTTTCTATTTTTAGGTAGATTATAGGGTGATCGACTCGATTTTTCAACCGGTTTTAAACCCGGTTTTTTTTGCTTTACCAGTGTCGGTTTTTTCTTAATGTTGATTTTTCGAATATCGAATAACCCGGTTTTTTCACTTTTTAAAAACCGGTTTCGAATACTTTTATTTTTCGAATACTATTTATTTCAAAGATTATTTAAATGAAATTTTTAAGTAAATAATAATACAGCCCGCCTAAATTTTAAAAATATTCGAGTCGAGGAGCTAGCGTATATTTTTCTAAAGCTCCTTTGGTTAAACTTTTTTGATTTTCCTAATTAATTAAAAAAAAATTTATTTGTAAAATTGATAACTATTTGATAAAATTTTATCAATCTTAAGATTATATTCCAATTACAATAATTAATTTACGGCTGAAATTTTATGGAAGTGTTGGAATGCCTACGCAAATTTCCTAAACAGGGCTTTTAAAATAAGCTAGGATTACATAGTACCTTATGTTTAACAGAAGTGTCCCACTTTTTTCCTAATTTTTTTATATTAATGAAATAATGTAAATCAGAATACTAGATCTAAAGTTATACTCTTTTAAACTGTTAAAAATCATTTCGGGCCATGTTTTATTAATCAAATTTAAACATAAACATTAAGTTTTTCAAATTAAAATATGTTTTTTTATTTATAATGAAAAACCGGTTAACCGGTTTTTTCTGAACTTGAAAAATATCAACCGGTTTTTTTTAAATGTCAACTATTCGAACTATTCGAAAACCGGTTTTTGGAAAATGTCGAATAATCGATCACCCTAGTAGATTATCATAAAACTTAAGAAATTTATTTATTAACAACCGATATTTACAATAATAGTGAAAAAAATAAATTAACCCTTAAACGGCCTTGGGGTCAAAATGATCCCGATGTTTTAAAAACATGCCAATTTGGACATATTTCAATAAAACCCGTTTGCAATCCCATTAATTCAGCAAATTGATAAAAAAAACAATTGGGTATTAACCCATTTGAAAGGTCCTATTGACCTAATTTTTTGCACGACATATTTTTATAACCCATAGAACAATTCTAGGGGGGGGGGACGGCCTGTAGGATAAAATTTTTTTTCCTTCATACAAGTTTGGAGCACTCTAAGCTACATATGGTAAATATTGTTCTTGTAATTAGTTTGTTTATTTATAAAAACAATACAGATGAAGAACAACACATTATTTATGAAGATGTGCGTTGTTATTGTTTTGTTATTGCCAAAATCAGGGATGGAAAATTGTGTGTGGAAAATTAAGCGGAGATGGAAAATATTAAAAAAATATAATCATTTTTAATTTGAAAAATTAATTAAACGTATTTGTAACTTTGGTACCAAGGACTATTTTTTTGGCACTTTTCGTTCTTTAACTGGTACTTTTTAAGTTTTCTTCAACTGATACTTCTTTAGTTTTTATGCAATATTGGACCTAGAAACATACATATAATCAGACTTATAGGAACCTGATGGAATGAATATCTATAAAGGGGAAATTCTTGGTATTTTTTCGTTATTCAACTGATACTTTTCGTCATTCAAGTGGTACTTTTAGATTTTCTGAATTATTGAAGCTAGAAACATAAAATAAAACATATAAGATCCTAATGGAGTAAAGTTTTTGGCACTTTTTTGTTCCAGAATTAATACATTTTGAATCTCTATTAATATTAAACCTAGAAACATAGAATTAAATACGCAGCGTCTTCTTTGAATGAAACTCCATCACCCCTATTACCCATAAAAGTGAAATTTTCATTCCCCTCGAAGTTAAAATTGCTATCGTGAATTTGATGTGAACAATTCATTAACAATAGTTGATTTTGTATGCAACAGCTGTTCAATGTTTACAAAATTCCATCAACTAATTTCACAACAGCGGAATTTTTTTCACGACAAAAAAGTTAGTGAACGAAAAAAGTGAAAAGGGAACATATTTCACGTGAAATTTTGATTAGCTCCCTATCGCCATAAGTATAAGTCTCCTTATGTCTGGAACTTTTTCGTTTTCAAAACCACTGACTATTTTTTTAAGCACACAACTCTTAGTTGCTTTATTTAAACATCATTTCATAATTTGACAATATTCTTCTATTGGACGTAATTATGTCCATTTTGAGGAATTATTTTTAGTATATAATCGAAAATTTAAATTTTCAGAAAAATTTTATATTTAAAAAACAAAAATATTTCTTTGTGAAAAATTTTGTTTTTTTATTAATTTTTCTTTAAAAATCAATTGCTAAAAATTAAACGTTTTAACAAAAAACTATTTGGAAAAAACATTAAACCTATTTATTGTAATTTTGAGGGTCACTGACAATAACCAATGTAGTTAGGGAGCTCTGATTAATACGCGTTTGAATGTGTATAAACTTAATTTTTTTATTTTGCATTTTTAAATATTATAATTTGTTGAGTGTTAAGTTCCCTTCGTTCGCCAGTAAAGAAGAGTTTTTTTTTTAATATAAAATGCCAAACCATTTAGGTAAAGACATGTCAGTTTAATTTTAAATAATCGACAGTGTTTAACTAAATAATTCACCCTTAACTCACAATGAAATCCTTCACCGTAAGTAGAACAAAAATGCTAAAAAAATCAAAGAATATTTTTTAAACAAAATTTTGTGGCTTATTAGCTGAAAGGGTCTTTAGCAAAATATGACTAAAGCTGATAGTGAAACTTCACGGATTTTGTTGATCTTTGCCCTTAAACAGTGGACTAATTACTTAATATTGCTTTATTTTAGGCTGCTGCTGTTATCTCCACCTTGGCTGCTGCCAATGCCGGTTTCGCTCCCGCTCCCTTGGCTTATGCTGCTGCTCCCTATGCTGCCGCTCCCTTCGCTGCTGCTTCTCCCTATGTAGCTCATCACTACGCTGCCGCTCCTTATGTAGCTGCCCCCGCTGCCTACTCTGCTCCTTTGGTAGCTAAGACTTTCGCTGCTGCTCCAGCTTTTGCTGCCCCTGGCCCAGTCTATGCTGCTGCCCCAGCTCCTTATGTAGCCGCCCCTGTTGCTAAGACTTATGCTGCTGCTCCCGTCTACGCTGCTGCCCCAGCCCCAGTTTTGGCTAAGACCGTTGCTGCTCCTTTGGCCGCTCCCGTTGCTGCCGTAGCTGCTCCCGTTGTAGCCAAGGCTGAAGTTGTTGATGCCTACCCTCAATACAAATTCGCCTACAATGTCCAAGATGCTTTGACCGGTGACTCCAAGACCCAAGAAGAAACCCGTGACGGTGATGTAGTACGTGGCTCTTACTCTCTCATCGAAGCCGATGGCTCTCGTCGTATTGTCAACTACTATGCTGATTCCGTCAACGGTTTCAACGCTGTTGTCTCTAAGGATGTTCCCGTAGCTGCTGCTCCCGTTGTAGCTGCCCCAGCTGCCGTTGTTGCCTAATTTTTCACAAATTCTTTTTGCCTATTTGCCTTTAATTCTTAGCTAATTATTTATCTTCATTTCGTTATCTATCCTTTTTTCCTGCTAAGTCAATGGGTTAAATTAACCCTATGTTTAGGTGTCAAGGTGCTGTCACATAATTGCAATAGTGTAAGCGAATTTCATTTGTAAAAAACATTTTCTACAATCATTGTCGTTGTTGTAAAAAATGTCAACTGTCATCACTTACTCATGAACGAAGACTTTGTTAAAACTGTTAAATAAAAAATAATTATTGAAAAAAAAAAACATCAATATTGTCTTAGTATTTTATTTGAAAATTTTTGTCATAAACTTTTATGTAAGTTTTATAGCTTAAGATAGACAGAACGGTAACAGTTTGTTAAATCATATATATAGGGGTCCACATCAAAATTTCTTTCCTTTCATTAACACGACTTCACATCTTTCGGAGTTGGATTACACTAAGTTGCTAAATTCCACCAAAACATAACATGTATATTTCTAATACAGAAATTTATAACTTCTTCTTGAAAAGAGTCCACTGCAAGTAAGACCCTCATTCAGAATAGGATCGCAGAAATCGAAACTATATTAAAAGTTTAAACAATACTAAGCCGACAAATTTCTAACTTTGCCTTGCAGCCAAAAAACATTAAACCATCCATTGAGGGTCAAACTTAATAGATTGGAAACCTATTAAGTTCGGCAATTGCTTAATCCGATCATGTCTCTAGTAAATTTTCCGAAAATAACTAACATTCTTAAAGATTGAACTGCGCTGATTCCGAATCTGATCTCAGAATGCAACCAAACTATATTAAAAGTTTAAACAATTCTAAGCCGACAAATTTCTAACTTTGCCATCAGTTGAGGGTCAAAGTCCGTTAAGAAAACAAAGTCCAAAGGACGAGCCTTAACTCAAAATTTAAGTAATGTATTCATATAAAATTCCTCAGACCTAATAGCTTAGTATTAGGGTTATTATTAGTCTAGATGATGTTCAGATTGTAAACCTATTAAGTTCCGCAATTGTTGTGCTCACACTACTTAATGCGATCATGTCTCTAGTAAATTTTCCAAAAATAACTAGCATTCTTAAAGATTGAGCTGCGCTGATTTCGAATCTGATCTCAGAATACAACTATCACTCATTTTTGGACACATTTGAGTCGTTATAACCTTTTTTAAACATTTTGGGAAGGTAAATGATATAACAGAGGTTAAGCTTTTATTTTAAAGTCAACAGAATGGACTTTCAGATGGCATAACAGATTTTATAAACAGAAGGGTCTTTGTGTTATTATATCGCCAGAAGTATAGCCAAAAACGCTTCATATTTCTAAAATTTTTTTAATAAGATATGTCATTAATCTGATGTAATGAATGGAGGGTCTCTGGGTTCTGTTTTTTTAATTTTGTTGGCCTGTGTAATCAAATTTTCCCTTATTTAATTTTACATTGAAATTTTTAATTTATTTTTAATTAAACCCAAAACTATATTCTTCTATTAATAAGTAATTTTTAATGAAAATTTATTTTTAGTTAAAAAATAAAATTCCATTTTTTATTAATTTTTCCTCAAAAATCAATTGCTAAAAATTTTTAACATTTTAACAAAAAAGTGTACTGCAAAACATTAAACCTATTTATTGTAATTTTGAAGGTCACAGACGATAATCAATGTAGATAGAGAGAGCTTTGGTTAATACGCGTTTGAATGCGTATAAACTTAATTTTTTTTTAATTTGCATTTTTAAATATTATAATTTGTTTGGTGAGTTGAGTTACGTGAGTAAAGAATATAAAGAATTTTTTAATATAAAATGCCAAACCATTTGGTTAAAGATATGTCAGTTCAATTTTAAACAACCGACAGTGTTTAACTAAATAGTTCATCCTAAACTCACAATGAAATCCTTCACCGTAAGTACAAAACAAAAGTTTGTGGAATGTAAGCTTAAAGGGTCTTTAGCTAAATATGACTAAAACTTTTGGATTAAAGTGAAAATTAAAAGATTTTGTTGCTTTAAACAATAAACTAATTATTTAAACATTGTTTTATTTTAGGCTGCTGCTGTTATCTCCACCTTGGCTGCTGCCAACGCTGGTTTTGCTCCCTCTCCCTTGGCTTATGCTGCCGCTCCTTTCGCTGCTGCTTCTCCCTATGTAGCTCATCACTACGCTGCCGCTCCTTATGTAGCTGCCCCCGCTGCTTACTCTGCTCCCTTGGTAGCTAAGACTTTCGCCGCAGCTCCAGCTTTTGCTGCCCCTGGCCCAGTCTATGCTGCTGCCCCTGCTCCTTATGTAGCCGCCCCTGTTGCTAAGACTTATGCTGCTGCTCCCGTCTATGCTGCTGCCCCAGCCCCTGTTTTGGCTAAGACCGTTGCTGCTCCTTTGGCCGCTCCCGTTGCTGCCGTAGCTGCTCCCGTTGTAGCCAAGGCTGAAGTTGTTGATGCCTACCCTCAATACAAATTCGCCTACAATGTCCAAGATGCTTTGACCGGTGACTCCAAGACCCAAGAAGAAACCCGTAATGGTGATGTAGTACGTGGATCTTACTCTCTCATCGAAGCCGATGGCTCCCGTCGTATTGTCAACTACTATGCTGATGATATCAACGGTTTCAACGCTGTTGTGTCTAAGGATGTTCCCGTAGCTGCTGCTCCCGTTGTAGCTGCCCCAGCTGCCGTTGTTGCCTAATTTCTCCCTAAGTGATGCCTTTATGAGATTACTTCTTTTTGCCAATTTGCCTTTAATTCTTAGCTAATTATTTATCTCTATTTCGTTATCTATCCTTTTTCCCCTGCTAAGTCAATGGGTTAAATTAACCCCATGTCTATCTGTCAAGGTGCTGTCAAATAATTTCAATGGCTTAAGCGAAATTCATTTGTAAATAACTCATAACTGAGACTTTGTTAAAACTGTTAAATAAAATATAATTACTGAAAAAAACATCTATATGGATCTTTTGTGGATCGAATTTTTCTGTTAATTGTGGTCTACTCTATAGTCTGACAATAGTGAATTTTATTTATAAAGTCTGAACATAGCCTACTCTATAGTCTAACTATAGTTTACTCTTTAGTCTGACTATAGTCTACTCTACTATACATTCTTACTATAGTCTACTCTAAAGTCTAAATAAATTCTACTCCATGGTCAGACTATGATCTACTCTGTAGTCTGACTATAGTCTACTCTAAAGTCTGAATATAGTTTAGTCTGTAGTCTGACTGTAGTCTACCCTACAGTCTGACTATAGTCGACTCTATAGTCACTATAGACTATAGTCACACTGTAGAGTACTACAATGTGACTATAGTCAACTTTATAGCCTGACTATAGTCTACTCTATAGTCTATTCAATAATGTGACTATAGACCAGTCTAATCTATATTCTTACTATAGTTTACTCTAAAGTCTGACTATATTCTACTATAAAGTCTGAATACAGTCTACTTCATAGTTTACTCATTAGTCTAACTATAATCTACTCTATATTCTGACTATAGTCTATTCTATAGTGCGACTATTGTCTACTATATAATCTGACTATAGTATACTCTATAATGTAACTATAGTCTGCTCTATGGTCGAACAATAGTCTACTCTATAGTCTGACTACAGTGTAGTCTATAGTCTCATTATGGTCTACTCCATTACCTGACTATATTCTGATCTATAGCTGGACTATAGTCTGCTCCATATTCTTCTCTATGGTCTAACTATAGTCTACTCTGTAGTCTGACTATAGTCTACTCTATAGTCTGTCTATAGTCTACTCTAAAGTCTGAATATAGTCTACCCTACAGTCTATAGTCCGACTATTGTCTACTCTATAGTGTGACTATAGTTTATTCTACAATGTGACTATAGCCAACTTTATGGTCTGACTATAGTCTACTCAATAATATGACTATGGGCTGTCTATAGTCTAATCTATATTCATACTATAGTTTACTCTAAAGTCTGACTATAGTCTACTATAAGTCTACTTCATTGTTTACTCTTTAGTCTAACTATAGTATAATCTATAATGTGACTATAGTCTACTCTATGGTTGAACAATAGTCTACTATAGTGTACTCTATAGTCTCACTATGGTGTGCTCCGTAGCCTGACTATATTCTGATCTATAGCTGAACTATAGTCTGCTCCATATTTTTCTCTATGGTCTGACAATAGTCTACGATAGTCTACTCTATTGTGTGACTACTAATAGTCTACTTAAAGAGCTACCTATTAGTTTTCAATTTAAGAAATAATTAACAAGATATCAAAATTTTTTTCAATATTTTTTTTTATTTAACAGTTTTATCAAAGTCATGGTCATAAGTAAGTGATGAAAGTTGAAATTTTTTTACAACAACGACAATGATTATAGAAAATGTTATTTACAAATGAATTTCGCTTACGCTATTGCAATTATTTGACAGCACCTCGACAGCAGACCAGGGTTAATTTAACCCACTGACAATAACGAATAAGAGAGATTGATTTTTTTAAGACTTAGCAGGAAAAGGGATAGATAGCGTAGTAAAGATAAACAATTAGCTAAGAATTAAAGGCAAATTGGCAAAAAAAGAAGGTACTGAAGTAATCTCACAAGGACATCACTATTGATTGCTTAATAAGTTCGTTGAAAGAAATTAGGCAACAATGGGGGCGGCGAAGGTCTTGGCAACAACGGGAGCTGGGGCAGCTACAACAGGGGCAGCAGCTACGGGAACATCCTTGGAGACAACAGCGTTGAAACCGTTGATGTCATCAGCATAGTAGTTGACAATACGGCGGGAGCCATCGGCTTCGATGAGAGAGTAAGAGCCACGTACTACATCACCGTCACGGGTTTCTTCTTGGGTCTTGGAGTCACCGGTCAAAGCATCTTGAACATTGTAGGCGAATTTGTATTGAGGATGGGCATCAACAATTTCGGGTTCTACGACGGCAGCCTTGGCTACAACGGGAGCAGCTACGGCAGCAACAGGGGCTACGGGAGCGGCCAAAGGAGCAGCAACGGTCTTAGCCAAAACTGGGGCTGGGGCAGCAGCTACAACGGGAGCAGCGAAAGTCTTAGCTACCAAGGGAGCAGCAGCATAAGTCTTAGCAACAGGGGCGGCTACATAGGGAGCTGGGGCAGCAGCGTAGACTGGGCCAGGGGCAGCAAAAGCTGGAGCAGCGGCGAAAGTCTTAGCTACCAAAGGAGCAGAGTAGGCAGCGGGGGCAGCTACATAGGGAGCAGCAGCATAAGGATGAGCTACATAGGGAGAAGCAGCAGCGAATGGAGCGGCAGCATAAGGAGCAGCAGCATAAGCCAAGGGAGCGGGGGCAAAGCCGGCGTTGGCAGCAGCCAAGGTGGAAATAACAGCAGCAGCCTAAAATAAATTATACCAAACTATTTAATCCACAGTCTTAAGATGAAGAACAACAAAATCCGTTAAATTTCACTGTTGACTTTAAGCTTTAATAATCCACATGACTCGGGTGAAGAAGTCAAAACACAGCAAAAGGTCTTCAGTTTATATTCCACGCAATTTTGTTTGAACATTTTTTTTCTGTGACATTTTCTGTCTTTAAATTTAATGCACTTACGGTGAAGGATTTCATTGTGGGCTAAGGATGAAAATTTTTGTTAAACACTGTCGGTTGTTTAAAATTGAACTGACATATCGCTAGCAAAATCGTTTGGCTTTTTATATGAAAAACAAAATCTTCTTCACAGCGAACGCAGGGAACTAAACACTCAACGAATCATAACATTTAAAAATACAAAATAATATCGGAAAAAATACCATAAGTATTACTATAATACGCATTCAAATGACAAACGATTACTTCTAGCTTCGTAGCTCTCTGCATTGGCCATCGTCTATGGCCCTCAAGAAATAACAACAATAAAAAAGGTTTAATGTTTTTCAATTGTTATTGTTAATACATATTTTTTTGATGCAGTACGCTTTTTTTTGTTAAAAAAGCGTTTAATTTTTTGGTAAAGTGTAGTATAGTTTAAAATTTTGAACAAAAATGTATATTTTAATGTTTGAAGGTAACGTGAAGTTATACAAAGCTAATATTCTGTTAAGAAATTCTTTACACGTACAATTTTTAAAAACTATATTAAATAAATTAAACTACCTACTACTATTTTACTTAAACATTACTAAACGAATATTACTTTTTATGGTCACTTTAGCACTCACTCTTGTATTCTCCTCAATTTGTAGTCAGTCAGTGGCTGTGCATTATTTTGGTCACATTATTACTCGTAAATTTAACTCCCACTACATATTTTGGTAGTTTTTTTTTCGTTTGTTAAATTTTTATTTTAATTTTTAACGAAAGTGAAGACGTCTGCCAATAATTACTATTCAAAACTCATCGTTTAACACTTGTTAAAGTTTTATTTATTATACTGCAGCCTTGATTATCAAAATAGCATAAACTTGGTTGTGTAAAGATTCAAAATTTTCGGCAATCGGGGGAAAATTAATAGGAAATATAGACTATTCTTTTGGCTTGACTATAGTCCGACTATAGAATACTCTAGTGTCTTACCAGTCCAACTATAATCTAGTCTATAACCCGACTACAGTCCACTCTATAGCCCGAACGCAGTCTAATTTATAGCCCACTACAAACTACTTTATAATCCGACTACAGTCTACTCTATAGCCCGAATACAGTCTACTCTATAGCCCGAATACAGTCTACTCTATAGCTCGACTACAGGGTTCCTTATAGTCCGACAACAGTCTACTCTATAATCCGACAACAGTCTACTCTATAATCCGACAACAGTCTACTCTATAATCCGACTACAGTCTCCTCTATATTCCGACTACATTCTACTATGTAGTCCGACTACAGTCAACTCTATAGTACGACTAAAGTCTACTCTAAAGTACGACTACAGTGTTCTTTATAGTCCGACTACACTCTACTCTATAGTCCGACTACAGTCTACTCTATAGTCCGACTACAGTCTACTATGAAGTCCGACTACAGTCAACTCTATAGTTCGACTACAATCTACTTTATAGTCCGACTACAGCCTATTCTATAGTACGACTGTTGTCTACTCTATAGTACGACTACAGTGTTCTTTATAGTCCGACTACAGTCTACTCTATAGTCTGACTACAGTCTACTCTATAGTCCGATTACAGTCTACTATGTAGTCCGACTACAGTCAACTCTATAGTCCGACTACAGTACGACTATAGTCTACACTATAGTCCGACTATAGTCTACTCCATAGTACGACTATAGTCTACTCCATAGTCCGTCAATAGTCTATTCCATAGTCCGACTATAGTCTACTCCATAGTCCGACTATAGTCTTTTCCATAGTCCGACTATTGTGTACTGTATAGTCCGACTATAGTCTACTCTATAGTCCGACTCTATAGTCCGACTACAGTCTACTCTATAGTACGACTACAGTGTACTCTTTAGTTCGACTACAGTCTACTCCATAGACCGACTATAGGCAACTCCATAGTCCGACTATAGCCTACTCTATAGTCCGACTATAGCCTACTCTATAGTCCGTCAATAGTCTACTCTATAATCCGGTTATAGCCTACTCTATAGTCCGACTATAGTCTACTCTATAGTCCGACTACAGTCTACTCTATAGCACGGCTACAGTCTACTCTATAGTTCGACTACATTCTACTCTATAGACCGACTATAGTCAACTCCATAGTCCGACTATAGCCTACTCTATTATCCGGATATAGCCTACTCTATAGTCCGACTATAGTCTACTCTATAATCCGGCTATAGTATAATCTGTAGTCAGACTGTTGTCTACTCTATACTCTGACTACAGTCTACTCTATAGACCGACTATAGTCTACACTGTAGTCCGACTATAGTCTACTCTACAGTCCGACTAAAGTCTACTCCATAGGCCGAGTATAGACTACCTAACAGTTCGAATTTAGTTT